AAATTTTTTATCTTACTATATTATAAAAATGATTAAAAATCATAATCTTGAATTAATATCTATCAAGACTTGTCAAATCCTTTTAAAATCTCAAATATATATATCAAATGGATACCTAATAAGTCTTTTAAAATTTCACCGATCTGTTGACCTGAATAGAAGGAGTTCAATTCCTATTAAGCATAGTATTGAGTTCGACTTCTGTGAATAGAAAAACATGTACTACGAGAATTTTCCCTAATACGGTTCGACGCAACTTGATTCTAAATTAATAAAGATCCAATATGATTGTTAGATATTAAGAAGTTAATAAAAAAAAGTTCTTTTAAAATTTAAAATATATATGCAATGGACCTTTTAAAGAAAATTCATTAAGAGGTTAAAACCTAATTAAATTAAATTAATATCCTTTCGAATTTCTAGATGAGTATGATACATATAATTTTTTATCAAATTAATTCTCTTTATAATCTTAATATATTATAAAAATTATTAAAATTTTCGTTAAATCTTGAATAATTATCTAGTGAGCATTTTAAAATATCTCTACACTTTTAAATAAACATCCGATGGATCTCTTAAATAAAATTCATTAAGGAAGCTAAAGGCTTTTAAATTAAATTAATACATTTTTGAATTTCTTGGTAAACACTACACATATAAGTGACATAATCTTTATTAAATTAATTCCCTATATAATAATATTTAATAATACTCTAATTGTATCAAACTTCTAATTAATTTTTCTCAAATTCCATTTGAATTACCGTATAATAATATGACTTCTATATCTACAAATTATTAAAGTTAAAACAACTTACCAAAATATATAATATGACTTTTACTTTAATTATATAATATATTTAGTATAAATACATATTATATTCAATTCAAGGAGTATATATAATTGATGTATTTTTAAATAATAAATTATAATTCATTATTCTTGGACTAAGCGAGTAATAATTAGGATATTGATTGGTATACCATCCAATTTAATATACTATATAATATATGTTAAAAAAGTATTATTTTTTGATATAAAATTAAAGATAGACAAATTTAAAAATAAGCTATGCATATATGATATAAGAATCGGATGAATTAGTTGTACCTTTGTTATATTCTAATGCACTACAAGAAAATGGGTTTTATAATGACTGAAAATGATGACTGATTATTAGTTGGTCACTAATATTTTTTATATTTGTGATTAATTTAAGATAATAACTACTAATACTAATTTTTAATATTATAATATATAATTTGGACACAAGAATTATATTTAGTCACTAAAAATTTATCAAAATAAACTACTTAAATTTATGATGGTCAAAATTGTTACAAATAAATTAACTATTAGTTACTTGAAAAATATTAACTACAAATGATAAATTTATGTCACATATACTATTTTTTTCTTGTGACTAAAATTATGATTTGTAATAAATATATTTTGTGACTATATGCAGGTTGTTACTAAAAAAAATCACAAAATGTAACAATTTTTTTTTTTGTCACAATTGGACTTAAAAAAATAAATAAATTAGTTACAACAATATTAGTCACTATAAATTAGGTGAATATTTGTGACTAATAAAAAATTTGCCACAAATAAACAAATTCCATCATTTATAAATTTGGAAACAAAAACACTTTAGTATCACCAAAATAAATGTTTTTTTTTTAAAAAAAAAAACTAATAATCCATAATTTGTGAGACATAGAAAATTCATAATTAAGTGTAGATAAAAATCAACATCATAAAATTAACATTTCTCAAAAAAAAAAAAATATTATTTTCCTAGAAGATTTAATACAATTTGATCAATTTCTTTAATTGTAAAATATCAATTTTAGTCCCTCAATAATATTTTAAATTTTAATCCTCAAATTTTAAATTCATTCAAATAGGCCCCTAATGTCACATTTAAAATTTTCTATTTCATCTCTCTACCTTTTTAGATTTAGCAATTAAATTCTTATAATTTTCATTTCTTTCATTGAAGTTTTCTTTCAGTACAAACTATAAGGTCATGAAAAATGAAAAATACCTTATTATGTGCGCATATAATTATGAAAACCATATAAAAATTTTAAAAAATTTTGTATAAAAATTCATGTCATCATTATATATTTGATATACTTTATTTTATTAGCACTAATGCTACAAACATCATAAATGAACTTCATGTTATGAAAAGAAAAAAAAAAAAAAACTAAACCACTAAAATTAAATTAAATGAAATGATAATATCTTAATCAAATAATTTTTTTGTTTACACTTCTATCCATGACTTCAAATAATTCTTAATATCATAATTTTTTTTATACAACATTTTCATACAAACTTTACATGTGATTTAATCCGATTGATCCAACTCACACTAACCCAATTTAATTAAAAACCAAATCAAACCGATATAAAACTGTGTTAATTTGAATTATAAAATTATAAAATTGATATAATTAATTTGGTTTGTGGTTTTACTTTTAAACTGTTCAAACTGCGTAATTACAAAATAAAACCCAATTATTAGATAACTTAATTAAATAATATAATATATTTTTGTAGTATTTTAAAAATTTTTTTTCTTGTTTTAAAAGATAATAATTTCATTAATTTAATTAAAAATAAAAATAGAATATCTCCATATTTCTTAATTGATTTTTTTAATCATGTACTCTAATTCTAATTCTCAATTTCTAATTCACTTACAATTCCATCTCTCAGAATTGGTCTGTGCCTTTACTTTTAGAACTCTAAATGTTTAATTTATTCTTAAAATAATATTTTGATTCTCTTAACTAGACTTTAAATAAGTATCATTTTATAAGTCTTAAAACTATATAATAAAACTAATCTTGATATTTTACTTTTCTAGGATATTTGGTTGAGGAATTTTAAATTTTAATTATGAATGTTTCTAATCAATTCTAGTAAAATTCATGTTAAATTTTATTCACTTTTAACAAGATTTGGAAGATGGAATTGAATCATTAATGCATTAAGAAAAAAAAAATTTAACCTTTAAGAATTATTTACACTGTGCTTAAAACTTGGAATCATCTTTTATTGTTTTTTATGCCTCTGGTGATGTAACCAAGAAGAATTTTGAAAATTTTTTAATCTTTATAATTTTAAAGGAGCATAATAATTTATTTATAATTTATGTCTTTTATTATGTTTCTATTGATTTAGATATTAATATGTTTTACAGTCATATTTTCTATTTGATATTAAAATTTTTTACATTATTTTGTATATTTAACAATGTTAAAAACTAATCAATCGGGTAAATTATACCTATTTAATTTAAGTTGAATTGGTTTATTTATCATATAATAGTGGATTGGATTGATTTGGTTTAAAAAATATTAAATTCGAACCAAACTACATCTCAGATACCATACCTCTAATAATGAGATATAATAGTAATAAACAAAGGTTAAACCCCCAACTTGATCCTTCAACTATTGCATGGATCCCCAATTTGGTCCTTAAACTAAAAAAAATCCATAATTTGATCTCTACTGTTTACTAATTTGACCCCAAGTTAGTCCTTTCGTTAAAAAACAATTGACGTGTTCATTACTTAACAACAAAAAATCGTTACTTAATGGCCATGTGTCATGTTAGTAATGGGACACGTCATCTATTTTTATATGAAATGATCAATATGAGGCCAAATTGATAAACAATATGGACTAAATCAAGGATTTTTTTTTTTTTTTTATATTTTAGGAACTAAATCAAAGGTCTGTATAATGATTGAGAGACCAAATTAAAGGGTTAACCATAAATAAATTACTAATATAGAAAGGAAAAGTGATGACAGATAATTTAGAGTGATGAATAAACTAGGAAAATGTGCAATAGTAAGTTGAGAGATGATATCACAAGAAAAAATAATGAGGTGTGGATAAAGGTACGCAAGTAAAAAAATACTAATTAAATAATGCTAAAGTTGTATATTTAATGCTAAAGAAACTAATGAATATTTTGATTAATTACTCTATCATGTTTATCTCAAAAAATTCAATTGATATAAAAGTGAAAAATCTATTTATATAAATTAATATGTATATTCAATAATTAAAAATTAATTTTAATTATGAATTAATTTTACTACATTTAATAATTACTAAAATAATATAATATAAACAAAGTGTGTGTAGCACAATTTTAAAGCCTAGTTACAAATAAAATATGTAAAAATAAAAATTATCACTAAATTCTTAATTTGAATATTAAATCAAAAGAACGTTTATTATTCTCTTCTGGAGAGGAGGGACTACCGTATAAACCCTTTTTCTTGTCCAAATCCCATGTTACCAGCTTAGGTTTCCTCCAATTTCAAGTTTTATAATGGTATAGTGATAACCTCTTCTCTGGGCAAGTTCGTAAGTTCAAACGTTACTGTTGTCTTGTTTTTAACAGTCACTAATTCAACGGACCATGTCACTTGGGCAAAAATCCATTTTTAGCTGCTCCTCTTACAAAATTTGAAGGTTTTAACCCCTCACCTTATATTATAATACTTTTAACCCCTTATCTTACTAGATTTGTAGGTTTTAACTCCTTACCTATTAGAATTGAAGAAAATAGCCATCAGTTTAGATTGACTGTTAATCCTGTTAACTGAAAGTAGATTTTTATCAACTAACAGTTAACTAATAGCTAATTAATAGAATTAACGAAATATTATAAAATTAGTTCTGTTAACTATATTAGTTGAAAGAAGGTTTTTGACAACTAACAGTCAGCTAATAAAGTTAACAGTTAGCTAACAGAATTAACAAAATATTACAAATTGAGGGTTATTCTCTTCAATTTTAATAGATAAGTGGCTAAAAGTGTTTTAGTATAAGATGATGGGCTAAACCTACAAATCTAATAAAATGAGGGGTTAAAAATATCATATTATAATGTGAGGAGTTAAAACCTTCAAATTTAACAAGATAAGAGACTAAAAGTAGAGTTTAGCCTGTCGCTTGTGGGCTGGGCTAAAATTATTTTTCATCTATATATTTATGCGTATGCCAACCTATTAGATTGGGGATGGTTGACTATGCGGGCTGCACACATCAGGGATGGGTTAACTGGTTAAGCTCAATTCAGATGGATCCTCCACTTCCAACTATGGTAAGAATATAGGCTATGGTTCAAATATTGATCCTGAATTTTGGGGTATTAAAATAGGATTCGAGATTGAATGTTCAAAAAAAAAAAAAAAAGATTCGAGATTGCCCTTGCTAGAGGATTTAGAAAGATTGAGGTAGACACTATTCTCTTTCGATTGTTAGTAGATTGAATGAGACTTTTGTTCCAAACAAAATTCATATATTATTTAGCTACATTTAGTGTGGTTGTAATTTTAAATTTTTATAAATTTTGTAGTACTAAAAAAAAAAAACTCATATACTTTTATGTAATTTTGTAATATATTATCATAATTATTAAATAAATAAAAATAAAAATAATTTTTATATTATTAAATAAGTAAATTTTTTTAGTTGTCAATGTTAAAATTTGTTTTAACAAATTTTTAATTTTCAATTTTTAGTCTTGGTTTTTAATAGTTGTATAATTTATAAAAACTAAAACAAAAAACCTAAATCCATAACAATGCTAAATGAAGTCTTAGCTGCTTGTTGCAACCTTTGATCTTTTAATTTGAGGATAGTTTTCTTAAGACCATCCATTAAGAAGTAAATAGAGTAACTACTACACCTATCACAATGCAAATTTTGTGCTTCTTGTTTTTTCCATAATGGAGATGGTTGTTCGTGGGTTTTTTTTTTTAACACACCTAATAATAATAGAATATATAAAAGGAAATAATCTTTCTTTTTTTTAAAAAAAAAAATCTTTTTTCATTCAACTCAAAATTCAAATTAAAAATTTTTAATTTAAAATCTCAAACTTTTAACCATTAAATCATCCATTTGAATGTGATTATTTCGTGTATTGGATCAAAATTTGTTGGTTTCATTTGTTAATAAAATTTCCCAATTGAAAAAAAAAAAAAAAAAAAACCCACAAATTTTAATGTTTTTACTTTCTTGGGGCTTACACTATTACTTGTTTCAACTTTCGACTTTCAACTTTCGAGTGGTCTTAATGGGACACAGGTGGCTCCGTTTTGGGCCTTGCTGCGACGTTGGGTAATCTTCAGGGTCAGGTATTATGGAATAATTTTGATATTAGTCAAAGTGATGCATAGTTGCATACTACTCAAGGGATGATCACATTTTTGCTAAATCTATTTTATTAACTACGTCCCTGCTCTGCTATAAAGGGATTTTGTTCGAAATTTATATTTATTGATTTGTTTATTTTTTATTTTGTAAAAAATTAAATAATTTTAATAAATTCTCTCTAAAGAGGTTTTTTACTTTTTTGAAGAAAAAATCACATATTCCATTATTTAGTATAAATTATATTGATCTATTAATTTACAATTTAGAAGGACAATGAAATGAGATAATTTTAAATTGTAAATTTAAAATTTAATAAGACAGTTTGAATTTCAAATAAATTAGAGTTTTTGTTATATAAGATTTAAGGTGTTTAGATTAGTTGTTTAGGTGTAACTAATAAAATTATTTGTATAAAAATAAAATTTTTAAATCCATAATTTTATAAATATCCATGATTAAACACATTTTAAATATATATTTTCATGCTTTCTTCACCCATCATCCTCATAATTATTCCTCTTGTTTTCTTTTAGGTGACAGCGTTGGTGGCCACCAACAGAGATCACAAATGGCCTGCAATCAATTGTCCAGCTCTAGAAGACCTTGAGACAGCCTTTTCCTGCTTGAAATCTGCAAGTGGCACTGACATTGCGGTATGTGGATGTGGATTCTTATTTTGTTTTTCACTCAGGCATATAATTTTGTTTTTTCTTCTTCTTCTCTTTGAGCGTTTTGCATCATTTTACTAACAGTCTTAACTACTTCTTCTTCTTTTTTTTGAGCGTCTTGCATCATCTTACTAACATTGTCTTAACTAGTTCTTCTTCTTCTTGTCTTAATTTCTTGTTTAGGTTGTCAAGCTTTTCTTCTTCTTCTTGAGCGTTTTGCATCATCTTACTAACATTGTCTTAACTACTTCTTCTTCTTCTTGTCTTAATTTCTTGTTTAGGTTGTCAAGCTTTTCTTCTTCTTCTTCTTCTTCTTCTTCTTGAGCGTTTTGCATCATCTTACTAACATTGTCTTAACAACTTCTTCTTCTTTTTTTTGAGCGTTTTGCATCATCTTACTAACATTGTCTTAACTACTACTTCTTCTTCTTCTTCTTTTTGAGCGTTTTGCATCATCGTACTCTTCTTCTTCTTCTTCTTCTCGAGCGTTTTGCATCATCTTACTAACATTGTCTTAACTACTTCTTCTTCTTCTTCTTCTTCTTGAGCGTTTTGCATCATCGTACTAGGTTGTCAAGCTTTTTCTTCTTCTTCTTCTTCTTCTTCTTCTTCTTCTTCTTCTTCTTCTTCTTGAGCGTTTTGCATCATCGTACTAACATTGTCTTAATTTCTTCTTCTGCTTTTCTTCTTCTTCTTCTTTTTGAGCGTTTTGCATCATCGTACTCTTCTTCTTCTTCTTCTTCTTGAGCGTTTTGCATCATCTTACTAACATTGTCTTAACTACTTCTTCTTCTTCTTCTTCTTCTTCTCCTCCTCCTCCTTCTCCTCCTCCTCTTTGAGTGTTTTGCATCATCGTACTAGGTTGTCAAGCTTTTCTTCTTCTTCTTCTTTTTGAGCATTTTGCATCATCGTACTAACATTGTCTTAACTTTTTCTTCTTCTTGCATCATCTTACTAACGTTGTCTTAATTTCTTGTTTAGGTTGTCAAGCTTTTCTTCTTCTTTTCGAGCGTTTTGCATCATCGTACTAGGTTGTCAAGCTTTTCTTCTTCTTCTTCTTTTTGAGCGTTTTGCATCATCGTACTAACATTGTCTTAACTTCTTCTTCTTCTTGCATCATCTTACTAACGTTGTCTTAATTTCTTGTTTAGGTTGTCAAGCTTTTCTTCTTCTTCTTCTTCTTCTTCTTCTTCTTGAGCGTTTTGCATCATCTTACTAACATTGTCTTAACTTTTTCTTCTTCTTCTTTTTTGAGCGTTTTGCATCATCTTACTAACATTGTCTTAACTTCTTCTTCTTCTTTTTTTTGAGTGTTTTGCATCATCTTACTAACATTGTCTTTCTTCTTCTTCTTCTTCTTTTTGAGCGTTTTGCATCATCTTACTAACATTGTCTTAATTTCTTGTTCTTCTTCTTCTTCTTCTTCTTGCATCATCTTACTAACGCTGTCTTAATTTCTTGTTTAGGTTGTCAAGCTTTTCTTCTTCTTCTTCTTCTTCTTCTTGAGCATTTTGCATCATCTTACTAACATTGTCTTAACTTTTTCTTCTTCTTCTTCTTCTTCTTCTTCTTCTTCTTCTTCTTCTTCTTCTTCTTCTTGAGCGTTTTGCATCATCTTACTAACATTGTCTTAATTTCTTCTTGAGCGTTTTGCATCATCTTACTAACATTGTCTTAA